TATACTGGTTGCAACATTGGAGACTTGGATTAGGATGGGTTGGAGAAGATGGATTTCTGTCTGGCCCCTCTCAGTCCCAAGAGAGAACCCCCACACAAACAAAGAGCACAACACAAAACCTTCCCCCCCCCCCCTCAAGATTTGAAAGTATCTTCTTTCCCCATTGGTCCTGTTGGTCAGGTGCCAACCAGGCTCTTTGAGCTTCTTAACCCCTTACAGGTAAGAAGGAATTCTAGGCTACTAGGCTACCCTTAGCTGTATGTTTATGACAGCATGCTACCAACTTCTTCTGTTTAAAATAGTTCACACCACCCTTAGTCCCAGTTGGAGGGTCTGATGGTTTCTGCCCCATACTCCTTTGCATTCTGTGCCCACAGGGATGGAGCGGGGATCTTGCATTCTTCCCATATGTGCACTCATCAAGGGTGTGGGGATCCATTGGTCTTGCACTCTTCCCTTGCTCAGGCTTATATGCACAACTATTTTGCCCACCCCTCCTACCCTAGACACAGCTTTATGTAGTCTCATTCTGTTCCTCACCACCCTGCTCTCCACATACTCACATTCTCTTGCTCACTCAAATTTTGGGCACAGGTCCTATGGAAGGGCAGGCTGCTGCCATACCATTTCTGGGCCAGGGAGGAGGTGCTTCTGCACTAAAACAATATGCAAACTCCCTTTTCAAGCTAAATGCAATACCTGTGCTACAGGTCAAGGTTCTCCTCCTAGTGATCCGATCTGTATCGATTATTCTCAATTTTGCATACACCCTATCACCATGGATCTTTCCAGTTTTATAAAGAGGACCGCACAAGATTCTGACTGAAGCCCGGCAGCACAACTCCTTCATTAGTTGGAGGGGACCCTAAGAGTAAGTGAGATATTCTTTTCTCTCCCCTCACCCTCCCCCCAGCAGCCAGGAGCTGAACCTCTCAAGAAAGTGAGAGACTGGAACTGATCAGAAAGTGTCACTAATGCAAAGCAGAGGGGAACAACAAGCTGGTCCTAAGACGTAGGGTCCATCTTTCTGCTCTAAACTATAACTTGTTACCATGTGGTTTTGGATTTTCATCTCTTCAGGCAGTGCTAGGTGGAGTAGACCACTTCCAAAGTCATGTTCAGCCCTACTTGCTACTTCCCCGTGGTATTGTGCTACCTCTTGGCCAGCTCGAGCTTGTCTCCCTTTCCTTGCATTTCCCACTACTGTTCCTTACAGATGAACAAGGGCTGTATTACTTTCAGGTGCATGTTATAACAGTTACAGTAGTATCACACAGCATCTTCATGTTGTATCATAGCCATTTCTGTATTCAGTTTAGTGCATGGGCAGGACTAAGAGGTCTTCCACATTTTGACTTGTGCATTTGCGTTTCAAGTGTGATTAATGTTTGTACTAAGATTGTGCATAGAGGTCCCAACTTAGACTGGGACCCCATCGTGCTAGGACACCACCTGCCTCCAAGAGTTTACAATCTAAATAAACAAAATAGGTGAGACCAAAAGCACATATATGTTCACACCCTACACGCTATTGTAATAATCTTTGTACAAAATATGTCTTGTGAGCTATCATTTGAAAGCTAATAACTCGCTGATCAATAATATCATAGTGAAACATATGTAGCAACATTATATGTAAAGCTATGAAATCCCCCTGCATTATGTTCTTAGCACACGTTCCACAGTACACAGCCCAGCCCAGGCAGAAATATCCTGAATGAAGAAATGTGTGTTCACTTCAATTTACACAGAAGTAGTAAACAGGGTTCTTGAGACAATCAGGAGAAGAGAAGGCAGGAGACAAAGCAAATTTGCATTTCAGCAAAAACAGGTGAGAGGAAAGAACATGGAGCCTCCTTTATCACCAGACTCCATGTCATCTTCTTTACCGTTTGAATAAACTTTGCTTTGAGGGCAGCTAACCCTTAAAAGAATCCACTTGAAAAGTTAACTGGACTATAAAAGAAAGGGGCAGAAAACCCCAAGGAATTCTCTCTCTCTCCCCTTCTTTCACCCTTTTATCTAAGACGAAAAAACCAGCCCTTTGACTTTGTGGGAGAGATCCTGACCTGAGAATTTGATCAGCCATGTTGGTGGGAACATGTGGTAAGGATTTTACCTTGAACCAAGTCTAGCTTGTTAAATTTTCACTACTAAAAATAATTTTATCCTTAGTTCTCTTGTAATCATTTCTGACTTTAATACCTGATCCTTGAATGCACTCAAAACCCTATCTTCTTTTGTTTGTTTTATTTTTTAATCTGAACCAATCCACTGCTGTGTTTAAACTTGAATTGTTTGATAAAGCAGTAGACTGCTGAATATAGACGCTTTACAGGGGCAATGGACCTGTAATATCTGATCCGTCCAGGAAAGGGATGGACAGTGCAGAACATGTGTTTGGGGGAAAATTCGGGACTGGGAGTTTTTTCGGGTCATCCTGCAAATAGTAAGCAAGGCAGGTGGAAGTCAGAGTGTGGGTGGTGTCTTGCTGACAGGCTGCTGGGGTCAGAGCTGCAGCTGTACACACACACTCAGGGTGTGACCTGTAGGCTGTTGGCTGTCTGTGAGCAGCCCAGGTTGGGAGCTACAACAGCAAAGCATTGTGAGACGCCCAAGGTTGCGGGACAGGCAGTGACACAATCTCTTACTGGTCTGGATTGCATCCCAGACTGTGACAATAGCCTAAGAGTGGGGAGACAAATGGAGGCATGGAGAGGTGAAGTGACTGGCATAAGGTCACACAACAGGATGGTGGTCACAATCTACTGAGTCACCTCTCCTGAGTCCTAGGCGAGAGCTCCACTCACTGGACCACATTGCCTCTCCAGCTATTGACTTCATCCAAACGTAGATGTGTTTCCTGAATAAGATGGTGTTTGGGGGTCGGGGGGAAAGGCATTGTTATCCTGGATGGACATGTGAAAAGTTTTCAAATAATAATTTTGATATTTTAAAATATTTTTGTAAAATATATTTGTTTGCAGAGGACCTTTTATCCTAGCATGACTTCATGTTAGCTATAGGGAATCATTGCATTAAGCTGGAAAGCAGATTAACTTTCTGAACATCTAAAAATATAAATTGTGAAATATCTTGTACATACAGTAGCGTATGAGTAGGTTTTAAATAGTTTTGCTGGTTATAGCACACAGGGGATTTGGTTTAGGAGTGCATTAATTATAATCTAAAGTAGTTTAATAGCTAAAATAACCCCAGTTCAATAGCCAGGGACCAAGAGGCCATGGATAGCTTTTATTTGGATTCCCACATTTTGCGTGTCCTTAGTTAGAGTTCAGAATGTGTTGTCTACCAGCTGATAGCTAAACACTAGAGTGGATTTACCTGTTTAGTAGAGTTCCTCCCTCCTCTCCTATCCCATGACGGGAGCTCATGCTGTGTGTGCACATTACTGCAGTGGAGAAGCAAACCCAGAGACCTGTTCTTACTGAACTAACTGAACACCGTTCTAAATCTGGAGTAACTCTATTGAAGCTTAGAGCATAACACTGGATTTATCCCCTATAGTTCAGAGCAGAATTTGACTGAATGGAGGTTTTGCCATTGACTTTAATGGCACCAGGATTGGGCTCCAAGGCAATCATAATCTATAAGCAGCAATTCTGCCAAGTGCCCCAAAAGGAAGCCTTGCCTCTGAGCAAGCCAGTAGGAACAATGTTGAGCTTGTGTCAGCTGGAAATTGTTCTTAGAGCACAAAAATTGCTGAAAGTTGTCCTGATAAAATCCTCCTGTGTAGTGAAGCTGCCGTGCTTTTAGATTTATGATTAGGGACTATCATCCTCCTTTTCAGGCCTCATTTGAAGGCTACTTAATTTTATTGAAAAAAATAAATTTTTTCTGTCAAGTACTGTCTCTATGAAATGCTGCCACTTTCCTCCTTAAAGTGGTCAACATGCAACAGATTTTCTTTTTACACAAACATGGAGCAAGCCATTAAAGGCAGTAGTAGAAGGAAGTAGCCTAAAGTAGCTAGATTTGGGAGATGGGAGGAGTCTGAAAGCTCAGCCATGGACTGATGAGAAGGGTGGGTGAGGAGAGTGCTTCTTCTTGGAATGTTATAAGTGGTTGGAATACATGAAGCAAGATGGTCAGTTTTGAATCCAGGCTATTCTGTAGTTTTGTAGCCTGTCAGCCTCTTTGCCTAATAATGGATATTATCATTTCTCTTCCAAACTTTAAGCTACAGAAGCCAAATCCCAGCTTCATGTAAGTGGATGCCATTCACTTACACCCATTGAGTTTAGCCCTAAAATAGAAAATTCAGGTAGAGAAACAGAACTAATGACTTTGACACCTGCTGTAAACATATAAGAAAAAGCTATTCCTTTTCCTTTGGATGGCTGAAGACTGTTGAAATTTGAAACAGTGGTAATTGTTTCATTTCTGGGTCCTAGGTTTAAAAGCAATTGCCTGTGAAATGACATTCAAAAATGTATAAAGCTGTAAAGTTTTTATCAAACTTGCAAAATAAATTCAGTACACAAGTGAGGCAGCTATTAGCCTGCCTTTAATCAAGCACTTCTGTGTATGTGACAGGCAAGGATTAGGCTCGTTGCGTTATGCTGTGTTGCTTACACATATGTAGTCATCCCTTTTCCTACACTACTTTTCTGCACTGTTTCCAAAATATGTTTCATATCCATTTTGAGTAACATTCTTGGATTTCTCCCAGATCAATCAAATATAAATCACTTCTGCAGAAAGCAGGTTTTGCCACAAGGAGGAGGGGGAATAGACTTCCTTCCTTGGTGAACTTTTAACTACTGCAATTGCATTTTACTGTAAATGGCTTTGAGTAGCAAAAGCTACTAGAAAAGAGTCTGATTTTCTTTTTTAAATAATGAGTAGGAAATTAAGTCCCTGATTGCACTGAAGAATGTTCTCACTGTGTCAGTTTTATGAAGGTGGTGGTCTCTGCCAAACTGCAGGGGTTTGGGTGCAACTAGTTAATAATCGGGAATTGCTTGTATCTGTTTCAGAGCTCATTGAAGAGAAGAGGCAGCCGAGAAATGCACAAAGAAAAGAAGACATTCACACAGGTACCATTTTCAAGAATATGTGATGATTTTCATAGTCATGTGACAGTTAAATGGGGAAAACTCAAAGTCTCTCTTTACTGGGTGTTGACAGAACCACCAAAAATGTCAAACAGACCTGATTAGACTTAAATCCACTGAGACATTTCAGATAATTTAGAAGCAATTTAGGACGTGAATTTGCTTTTTAAACTATGCAGCTCTTCAGTTTTAATCTCATCTCTGGTATCTAGACTCAGGCTAACGGTTTTCTTCAGGAAAAGAAAATCACCTTGCCTCATAAAGTAATTGGATCATAGCTCAGGGACTAACTAAATTTATACATGGTGCCAAAGTTTTTGTGATAATGAGCATTGTGGCACCAGATGGAGTTCACACACTGAAACAACACCTAATGTGTTCTGGTGTCAGAGCCCAAGGTTTGGTTTCTCATGTGAGGTGAAGAGCATGAGAACTTAAAACTATTTGCTTCCTCTAGCTCAGTTAACATAAAGAGGCTGTGCTATCCGCCCCCCACACTAGAATGCTGATTTTATTGAATTTCCATAGGTTGATTCTCCGCAGGAAAGCAGTCAACCCGGATTCCTTTTTTTTTTGTGCTGACTGCAGTGGTTGAAGTCTTTTCTAGTCTCCATTCCATTAGCTATTTAATAACGCTGAGATGGGGGTAGGGTTTCAGATCACTGTGAAGAGGAGTCAATAGCAGCATCACAGCTCCGTTGGAGAGAGAGAGATTGTACCTCCGTTTTTTCTCTCCACTTCCCCTTAGCCCCCATCTGCAAACTGAGTATATTGATGTGATTTCATCCTTATAGGTTTTTTCTAAGTTGATGGAATCTTAACATCCATTGATTTGTAATAATAATAATACACTTAGCACTCTATGTCCTCACCAGCCCCTGCTGCATGGGTAAGATGGGGGAAGGGAGATTACTGCACCAGTGGGATCTGGAAGCACCCAACCTGCAGAGGACACAGGCAGACAGAATGCCGCCTCTGGGGAGCAAACGTAGGAATTCATCGGAAGCAGCCTTTGAAAGGGTGCAACGTACTCTCCTCCCAAAATGCCAACTGATGAGCAGAGACAACTGGTAACTCTCGATGGTGGGGTGGAGGCAAAATTTAAAGGTCAGGGGGCACATGATCGCGCCATATGTTGCCTGTGGCCCCTCTCCCACTCCCCCTGCAGCTCCCACACCTGCTCCAAGCTGGCACCTTGCCTCCACTCCCTCCACAACTCCTTCCACACTTACTCTCCCATCGCCTCCCCACTACAGACTCGGTGCAGACCGGATCGGGCTCCACACACCTACTGCCAAGCGGGTAGCTGCAGGTGAGGAAGGGATGGGACTCAGAGGGCTTTGCAGCATCCCTTCTGGCAGAGCTGCGCTGTCAGCCCCATCTCTCTTCCCTGATCCGGGCGACTCTTAGTGGAGCTCAGTGGGAGCACTAGGTACTGGTACCTTTCCCAGGCACATCCCCCTGTGCTGCGCTCAGCCCGACTCCCAACCTGGCAGAAATCTAGGAGGGGGAGCACATGACCCCGTGTGCCCCCCTGCAGCATCATCTGTGATGAGGATGATTGTTTAAATGATCAGCTATTTGGGGCCGGGGGTTTTTTCTACGTGTCTGTAAAGCACCTGGCAAACTATTCGGTTTATATAAATGATTATAAGCGAGGGCTTGGTCATGCCCACTTTGGGTTGTCTGGTGCTGCTGGGAGCATGAATGTTCTTTTTCCATGCGCTCAGGGAAAGCAAGAAGGTTCACAAACAGAGGATTCCTTTGCTCCCATCCCCAGCCCCTCCCCCCGCAATACCCCAAGAATAGTCAGAATTGGGTCCTATGCCTTTATAAAGAGCTTTACAAATATTTACTAACTCACTCTCACACCACCTTGGTGTGGGACAGGTAAGAAAATATTATAATCCCCACATTGTCGTCACAGAGAGGCTAAAGCCCAGATCCTCAAAGGTATCCTCATTGAAATAAGTGGGAGTTAGTTGCCTAAATACCTTTTGAGAGTCTGGACCTAAGTGACTTGTCCAAGACCACAAAGTGACTCTTTGTGTCTCATATCCACTCTTTCCTGGACTGGTTTTACAAGCAAAGGTGACCACGAATTTAGATTCTAATAATAGATTGATGGTATCTGTGCACTTAAATATTCAGAGACTACATCAGGACCAATTTCTCACTTACTGTGTGTTCACAGTGGGAAAATATGCAGAACTGTTCCATCCTCCGCAGTGCAGACCCAGTAAATACCCTGTAAAATTATTTTTGCCTTGAAATAAAGGGAAAACAAAACAGAAGTCTTTTAGTTGTACTTCTCTACCATTAAGTGTATTGAAGAAAAAAAGTTTCTATGCAGCAGAGCTACAGAATGGAGCTACTTGGTAAATGCCAGGCAGCAGTCAAAACACAAAGGAAACAGCACAAGGTAGGAGGATTGGCACTCAGCCAGCTGCTTGGGTGCTGTAGCAATGGTACCTTGTCATCAGATTTCCAATGCAATAAATGCTTAACTATCTTCTGCCTGGAAATACCCTTAAGCAGGTGGTGGTGAGGAGATGGTAGTTTGTCTCTGTTTCTCTTTGTGTCTTCCTGCCAGCAAAAGAAATACCATATTTTTGATCAGATCCTCAATCTCATGACAGAATTTACGCCAATGGTGGGTGTGGCAGTTCAATACAAGACAGGACACGGCTTTAGGCAAGCAAGCAGGCTGGTCTGCTGATGGGATTGCCCCTGTCAGCTTTTCCACCTCTTTTATTTCTCTCCCCCCCTGCGCATCACATACCCCAACCGACTGCAAAAGGCATCAACAAAGGAAATAATATGACTTTGATTAATATTCCTATTTACTAGCCTCTATCTACTACAATCTTTATTCTCAGGCCTTGAGCTTCGGCCGAGGAAGCTTCCCACGGCTGATGTCCTTATTTTGACTTCCCAGATGGTCCATGTTTTCATGGTCCATGTCCTTGGACAGAACAGAGCAATGTGTGCATTGCTCCTACACAACAGTCAGGGTGTGCCCTGACTGTTTCCAGGTGCATGAACGCTACATGAACCCTTCAGGTGGGCAACCTGCGGCCCATCAGGGTAATCCACTGGTGGGCCACAAGACAGTTTGTTTGCATTGACCGTCCGCAAGCACAGCTGCCCACAGCTCCCAGTGGCCATGATTCGCCGTTCCCAGCCAACGGGAGCTGCGGACGGCCGTGCCTGCGGATGGTCAATGTGAACAAACTGTCTCGCGGCCTGCTAGCAGATTACCCTGACAGGCTGCAGGCGGGCCACAGGTTGCCCACCACTGATTTACACTGCATAACTAATTTTTGTTTTATCCCCACCTTTTCCCTTTGAATATCTTCATGTTCTATGTTGGCCTAATTTAGATTGCATACTCTTTGGGGCAGGGTCCATCTTTGTTTCCAAATCTCTCTGAAGCTCCCTGCAAAGTTATGCTACAGGATACTAATATTCATGATCAATAATCAGTTCACAAGGATCCTTAATGGTCTCTTAAAGTCAGTGCCTAGCACTGTTAGCATTATGACACTTCTGTATTATCACTGGCTCTGCTTTTCCTATTGAGTCTGGCGTACATGCAATATTTAGGAAAGTTTCTACATGCCAGATGTGAGATATAACCAGACTGTGTCATAGACCTGATTTTAACTGCTGTGATTTCAACCTCTTGTTCCTCCAGAATGTCACAAACGCTATTCCTCCCCTTCTTGTCTCTTTAATGGTTTAAATAATGTCAATTTCAGCTTAATCCTCCTGATTTATTAATTCCTTAATTTGCCATATTTTTTAAACCTGTGGTATCAGCATGGGTGTCCTACATACTACTACTTTAAAATTGACTTCAGCTGGTCAAGAAATCATTGATATTTCTTGTGCACAAAGCTTCTGAAGGGACATGTTCATGAAAGTTGGAATCTTATACTTCTGTCATGCATAGACATTACTGACAAATCTGTTCTGAGCTGAGCATTCTATCTCCTTGGAAAAGCTCTTGAAGGATTGGGATTTTCTGTTAGCATGCATGTGAACTAGGGAAATAGCTATGTCACCTTTCCAAATGGAATCCATATTTGGTAGTTGGGATTAACATCCAGCAATTCTGTTGTCTTATATCTGTCTTTTTTCCCCATGATTTTAAATGGAAACAACTTTTATTTTTTTCGTTCTGCTTTGTCAGTTGCGAAAAAGTTTGTTAGACTTACTATTATCTATCATACTTTAACACTTTAGTCAAAAGACTAAAAATATTATAAGAATAATAACCAATCGTGCTTTTCTGTTGTTAAAACAACACTTAACTGTGGAAGTATTCAACTTGCATTGAGCAATGAAGTTGGACACAAGCATTAAGGGCCTGACCCAAAATCCATTGAAGTCAATGAGAATTTTTCTTTTTTTTTTTTTCTTTTTTTAAAACAGACACATTCATCTTGTATTGCCTCAAGAATGGCTAGGTGACTATTGTTTATAGGCTTGAAATCCAGTGCAAATTAAGTCTGAAATTCTCCTTGACCTTAATGGGAGCAGGATCAAGCCTGTACAGCTAACACCAATGAAAAAGATATGTGTGATGTCTGAGGCTTTACAGTGTGTATGAATGAAGTTATCAACAAAAAGGAAGATACAAGAACCCGGGTAATTACACAGGAATTTCCAGAAAAACATATAGATTGCTGGGCTTGGCGGCCAAAGAAGGCAGACAAATAAGATGAATTCTATTGGATTTCAAAGAAAGCACAAAGGGAATTTCATATGGGAGCATTTATGGCTGTTCTAAAAAAAAAAATTTAGACCAGTCCCACTTTTATTTGGTATGTTCTCAAGAATACAAATAACAGTTCTTAATTTCCTTACAGATGAATCCAGCACTGATCTAGATATAACTGTTCTTAAAAGTAAAGTCTATAATGGTGGTGATAAACTTATTGTCTGAACAAAAAAGAAAAACAATGCATTCTTTAGACACAAAGAGGACAAAACCCCATTCAGCAGCACCGAATAAAGACGTTTTACTCTTAAAGCCAGATTTAGCCAAATCAAGCAAAACCTTACAGGGATTTCTGTGGGAGCTGCATGAACTTTTGTCATGGCTGAATTTGGTACTTAATTTCCAACATCTAATTGCTAGTGAAAGATGCAAGCGACTTGCAAATGTATGTGACTTCACAATCGAAGCTCTTTGTGCGTGTGCTTGTGTGTAAGAATGCAAATATATTAACACAGAGAAGGAATCTATTGTAATCACTCGCATTATAATTCTTAGTAGTTTATACCTTCTTGAATGTATTTATAAAAAATCAAAGTATTGGTGCCAGAGCAATTATGACCACTGTCTTAACCAATCAGCTCATTTGTGTTTGTTTTGATCTGTTTGATTCTGGTATTCCGGCTCATTGCTGAGCTGAATGGCAGCTTTGATTTTTTTGGAGGTGTATGAGTCGTTTGTTTACCTATTTCATGTTATTACTTAGCCAGTTAATAACTTCCTTACTATTTTTTAAAAACATATCCTGCTCCCAGGGAAGCCAGTGCCAAAACTCCCACTGACTTCAGTGGAGCAGAACTGGGCCATAGTTGCCCAATTTACTCTATCTGTTATAATTGAAATTAAATAACTAGTGTATATTTGAACAGAGGTAGGGGTAGATTATTGTAAGTAATCTAACAGATGTTGATGATGATGTAATGATGTGTACTTTAGGAATTAAACTCACCCAGGCAGATTGAATAGTCTTAATTAGTCTTGTACCAAATTTTTATCTAAATTGGGTGAAAAATTAAAATTGGCATTTCTTCTTCTGACTTTTGTTTCACTTACTGTGTGTTGTAACAAAATTGTACTTGTGAATTGTAACACAGTGGTGCCAAAACTGAAATGGAGGGTCCATAGCTTATTGTACATGTGTCCTCGTGGCCCTCCCAGCAGCGCTGACAAAACCTACAACCTCAAGAGATTATCTTTCAAAGACTGCCTTCCATGATTGTACTGATGCTGACAAATGTCTCTTCTGAGACCAAATGCCTACATCTCCATGACAAATAATAAAAGTGAATCATGCAAGAGAAGAGTTCATCTTAAAATTTACTTAATCTTGCCTCTTATTTCTGTGTAATACACACTGGAGTTGGGATTTAAAAATATCCCCAAAACAAAATCTCCTATTTAAGAGACTGTGTTTGCTTTAAAGGGAGGGTTTTCTAATGGGCTAAGTTTGGATTTTACAGAGGGTTAAAAAGTGCTAGAGTGACCCTATTTCCTGAAACTGAAAATGGGACATTGGGAGTGGATATAATCCTTCCTACCCCAGTCCTTCTCCCTCCTACTTTTTTCCATCCCCTCCTCTCTGACCCACTCTGCTCCTATTTCCCTCCTCCCCTGCTCTCTCCTCACTTCTCTGCATTGAGAGAATATGAGCCATCTGGAGTCACTGTGCCAGGTTGGCCCAAGCCAGTGTCACAGAAGCAGTGCTTAATTTGTGCCGCGGCTGAGCCCTGGCACCTCTAGGCTTGGTAGGTCGTGGCCCTGGCACCTCTAGGATCCCAGCTAAAAGCCGCCACTCTCCAGCCTCCCACCTCCAGCCTCCCACCGCTGCCAGCAGCAGCACAGAACTAAAGGTGGCAATGCACCGTACTATGCCACCCTTACGTCTGCGCTGCTGCTGGAGGCAGCTCTGCCTTTGGAGCTGGGCACCTGGCCAGCAGCCGCCTTTCTCCAGCTGCCCCAGCCAGTGCTTAATTTATGCTGGGGCTGAGCCCTGGCACCTCTTTCGTTACAAATTAAGCACTGCACAGATGTCACGATTTTTTTGGCCAAACTGGGCATTTTGTCCAATTTGCTCTTGCCCGAACATTCCTCTGCATGCTCCTAGGGTAAGAGCAAACAGAACGAATGCCCAGTTTGGCCAAAAGGTCATGATGTCTGGGACGGAGCTTAAAAAGGGGACTGTCCCAGCTAAAACAGGACTTATGGTCACCCTAGTTAGTGTATTCCTTTTCACTGTCACCTCTGGAGAGCTGGGCTCACACATAGTTTATGTTACTGGTGATAGGATGGTCACACCCTATTTCCCAACAATAGCAACAACAATCGTACTTCTCATTTTCAAGACAATTCACAAACATTTCCTGTGTCCCAAAATGTTGTGAGGATTCTTTAGTCAAAGTCTAGTGCATACTTTTCATTGTGGCAAAACAACTACACAGTTTGTCACACTTCAGAATGTTTGATGCACTGCTGAGAAGAAGACTGAGTGGAGAAATGAGGAGCAACCTCATTCGTACAGTTAGCCTCTGCTTCATGCATGCTAAAAATTATCTAATTTATAATTAAAATGAAAAGGAAAAAAGTTCAAACAAACTACAACACCATTTCATTTGAATCATTTTTTGTTGTTCATAAAGTTTTTGCAATCTTCTTGTCTGCAAAACACATTAACACAGTTATGCTATGATTTTTCTATTCATCTGGGAACTATGTTAATTTCACCATGCCCAAGCCATAAACTGTATCAGCTTTATCTGTGATTTGCACAGCATGCTGTCTCTCTTTCAATTGTATGTATGTTTAAAATTTCAAAGGAAAAAATGTGAAGATTTTGGTACTTAAACAATTGATTATGCCTTTATTATACAATAATTCTTTTGATGGGGGCCTCTTCTTATTGGCAGGAGGACAGCGCTGACTTGAAGTGCCAGCTTCAATTTGCCAAAGAAGAAGCAGTGCTGATGCGTAAGAAAATGGCTAAGCTGGGGAGGGAGAAAGATGAACTGGAACAGGAGCTCCAGAAGTACAAATCCATCTATGGAGATGTGGACAGTCCCCTCCCTACTGGGGAGGCAGGAGGGCCACCCAGCACCAGAGAGGCTGAGCTGAAACTTCGTCTGAAACTGGTGGAAGAGGAAGCTAACATACTGGGCCGGAAGATAGTTGAACTGGAGGTGGAGAACAGAGGTATTAAAGCTGAGATGGAGGACATGAGATGCCAATATGAGAGAGAATGTCTTAGCAGGGACCATATTTCAAGTATTCCTACCTCGCCATACGGTGACTCCATGGAGTCAGCAATAGAGCTGCGCCGTCACTTGCAGTTTGTTGAAGAAGAGGCGGAGCTGTTGAGGAGATCGATCTCTGAGATTGAGGATCACAACAAACAACTAACCAATGAACTGAACAAATTCAAGTTCGAGCCCAGTCAGGAGTCCAGTTGGCTGGATGATGGTGCCTCTAAATGCAGTGGATCCCTACAAGAGGAGCTGAAATCAGCGAGGATGCAAATCAATGAACTGAGTGGAAAAGTGATGAAACTCCAGTATGAGAATCGTGTGTTGATGTCCAATGTGCAGCGCTATGATCTTGTCTCTCATCTAGGGCTGCGCACTTCAAGTCCCAGGGACAGTGATGCTGAGAGTGATGCAGGAAAGAAAGAGAGTGACAGTGAAGAGGGTCGCCCAACACAGCCAAAGAGAGAAGGCCCCATTGGGGGCGAGAGTGACTCGGAAGAAGTTTATGAAAAGACGTCAGGTTTTGGGAGCGGTAAGCCATCAGAAGCTAGCGACCTCTGTTCTACTGAGTTAATGAGAGTGAAAGAGGACACCGAGTCTTTAATTAACATCAAACGAGAGGCTGAACGGCTTGAAAGGACTGTGCTCCGTCTCATCACTGACACTGATAGTTTAATTTATGATGCCAAGGTGCACATCACCAGCAGTCCTTCCTCTGAGCAGGGTTTCAAAAGTGATGGAGAGAGAGGTGAGGAAAAAAATGAACCAGAACTTCTGGACACTATCAATTCAAGGATGAAAGCTTTCCGTAAAGAACTACAGACCTTCCTGGAGAAGGTTGATCACATCGGGGAAAGCCTCAAAGAACAAATAGAAGACCTCTCCCCTTTGCCCCACCTGACAGAGTCTTCCAGTTTTCTGTCCACAATGACATCCATGTCTCGAGACTCACCCATTGGTAACCTAGGAAAAGAGTTAATTACAGACTTCCAGGTAAGTGGGCTTCTTCTTTGCTTTCCCTCTGTTCGTTGTTTCTCTTTCTTGCTGGCATTGCTACTCTAGAGCTAATTTCCCACACAGCTGCTTTATGATTTCAAAATGGCAGTGTATTACAATCTAAAATGTAAAACAAACCCTTTTTAATCTTTTTATGCTCAACTACTTTCGTTCAGCGGCGGTTCCTCATGGCAGAAAGGCTAATCCGATGAAAGCAATAGGTATCTGGGTTTATTGTTGTCTCTAGCAGCAACATTTCCTGATGCAGATGTGATTAGTTAAAAAATCCAAAGTAAATTTTCCTGTCAAAAGCAATTAGAAGCCTTGCCAATGTAGTCAGAGTTCTTTATTGTGCTCTCTTTTAAAAGAATGAGGTGTGTTCTCAAAAGCCTTGCCAAAAAAACAAAATAAAATACACTTTCTAAGTGATGTTTTTTGAAAAGCCTGCTTACAGCTCACTCACATAACCGAGGGGCAAGTGAGAAGCACTAGCCAGCGAAGGACTGCCTTTCGTAAAGCGTTGCCAATGGGCGCATGTCTCAACTGCCACACTGGATATAGCTTTTCTGCACAGCACAAGTAAGGAAGGAAGAGCCTTGTATCCCGTATCCTTCATGACTTGTATGCTTGCTGTTGGTTTGACTCATGCATCCTCATTGCATGCGCCTCATAACCAGTGTTTGCATTCTTTTTTCCTCTCTTTCTCTTTTTTGCTTTTCAGATGTTTCAGCCCATCATTTTGCTCATCCTCATTTTAGTTTTGTTCTCTTCACTTTCTTATGCCACTGTATTTAAGTTGTTTTTTCTGTTCACGCTTTTCTTTGTCTTGTAGTTTTTTTTCCCAGTTGTCTACCTTACCCATTTTTGTTTTCTTTATTCCCTCCTGTCCTTTGTTTTTGTTATAAACCGCCCATGCACCTAACAGTCCAAACTGAGGGATCAGATGGAGTGGCAGCTCAGCCAAGATCGTGGAGAGGAGCAAGAGATTCACCACCACCGAGCCACCACCGAGCCACACCGCAGAGCTGATGGAGACATTAAACTCTACAGGCCAGGCGACAAGGGCTGTTTCAGTCTAGAGGTCAGCACAGCAGCCCATTCTACTAACTGCCTCCTGCTGCCGTGGAGGGGATATAAATTTCAGCCACAGAAGTGTGGGGAGCGTGAAACACTGCAACTTTGCTGTGACGTTTTCAGCAAAAATATTTAAATATTCGTAAATTTCACAAAAGCAAATGCACTCTTGTTTTGGGGCTTATCACACTGCTCCCAGTAGCCTGGCTTGGTGGAAGAATAACATTTGGCTCAATGCCCGAATAAAATAAAATACAATATGCTCTCTGGAAGGGACTTTGTGCCCTTGTGGGAGATGAGTGTGTCTTGTGCTTCCATGCCCCCAGGTTTTACTTGGATTTTAAAATTTGTGAAGGCTAGAGGTGCCCAGGATGGGGCTGTATAGTGCACAGCACTGTAATTCCCAACAGGCAGCAGGACAGCATACAGTCTCAAAAAAAATTAAACAGAATTGTCAGATGCTGTGGGTCTGACATATTTTTATATTTGTCAAATATAAAAGCTAACACATTTTTATTTTAAAATCTCCCCCACGCGGAGGCTCAAGGCATGCTTTGCTCTACCAGGTTAAAATATAGTTTAAACTGATTTGGTATAAACAAAGATTGGCTACGACAGGGGTTCTCAACCTTTTTCTTTCTGAGGCCCCCCCCCAACATGCTATAAAAACTCCACGGCCCCCCTGTGCCGCAACAACTGGTTTTCTGCATATAAAAGCCAGGGCCGGCATTAGGGGGTAGCAAACAGGGAAATTGCTTGGGGCCCCTGCCACAGGGAGCCCCAGGAAGCTAAGCTGCTCGGGCTTTGGCTTCAGCCCCAGGTGGTGGGGCTCAGGGCCTCGGGCTTCAGCGCCATGCAGTGGGGCTTTGGCTTTCTGCCCTGGGCCCCAGTGGGTCTGATGCTGACCCTGCTTGACAGACCCCCTGAAACCTGCTTGTGGCCCTCTGGGAGCTCCGGACCCCTGGTTGAGAGCCACTGGGCTACAACATGGTTTCTGCTTTTTTTTGTACTGTCTGGTCAATGTCCTTACCTAGACTAGCAAGTGGCATTTAAACACTGTTCTGCAGATTAACCCCATTCACACTGGCCTGCCAAACCTAGAACTGGTTTAAGTGGAAATAAGGAGTCTTTAAAGGGAGCTCAGTTTAAACATGGTTCTTTAATTCTGAAGCTCCATGTAGATAAAGACCTTAAGATATACAAGAAGCAGATAATTCAATCTGGAAGAAGGAAGATTCTCCCTGTGAGAGCTGGTAATTGTGATTAACAGACAATAGGCACTAGCGAACAGAGGCGGAGCGGGAGAGGGGAGGCATGCTCCTCACTGGCTGGTGGCCAAACAGCTAAATTCCATCCTGAATTTCAAAGGCAGAGTGGCTGTCCTTCACTGAGCACAGGTAATTTGTTTTTTTACCTTCTTTCCAGCAGCTGATGGTGGTAGCATAAGAAGTATTTAATTTACAGCCTCTCCCTCTTTACCCATCAAAGGTAAACTTCAAAACAGATATCTGCTAAAACATAAATAACAGTAAGTCAGTGGTTGGGAGTCAGAATTTCTCCTTAGATGTGGAAATCTGGAAGATGAGGGAGCTGAGTCCTTTGATTCAATACATATCTGGAACAATTGTCCCTAGTGAGAATTTTAGCAAGTATGGATCAGAAAATGACTCAAGTTAATGTTCAAAATCTTTCTGTTTAAACACTCTCACCATTAGTAGTTCCCTGCTGCCTAATTTTTAACCTTCTCTTTGTATTATATCTTGTATATAAACCCTATATTTATCGAGCTACATGACTTGGGTAATTTTGGCACAAATGGTTTGCCATCTACCAAAATGAGATGTTACCTAAAGTAAACTGTCAAAAGCTGAGCAGATGGTGAGAGTAGTTTTCACATCAAGGAGACCTTAGCCTGGCACACAAAAGCAGGTAGCTATAACTGAAGGTACAAGAATATCCACTCAAAGTCCAACTGTGCTGGAGAGGCAAGTATGGATGGGATACTCATAAAAGGGATCGAGGTAAGAAGGCATTAGTGACAAGCACACTTGTTTAAATACAGTTTATTGAAGCTACAGGGAACATTACATCACACTGTCATATGTTGAAATGATTGGGTATACCGGTGGTTTGAAATGCCATGAAGATCATCCAGGATTCCACCTTGGAGCTGGGCATCTACATAGTTATTAGTTTCAGAGTAGCAGCCATGTTAGGTCTGTATTGGCAAAAAGAAAAGGAGGACTTGTGACACCTTATAGACTAACAAGTTTATTTGAGCATAAGCTTTCGTGAGCTACAGCTCACTTCATCGGATGCTGTAGCTCACGAAAGCTTATGCTCAGATAAATTTGTTAGTCTCTAAGGTGCCACAAGTCCTCCTTTTCTTTTTACATAGTTATTGGTTCAATAGAGAAAAACTGGATGAAATTCTATGGCCTGTGTTATGCAGGAAGTCAGCCTAGATAATCTGATGTTCCCTTCTGGCCTTGAGGTCTATGAAAACATAAAATGGGAGCCAAATGAAGCATAAAGTTCCCCAAATTATTTTTTTTAATTGATTTTGCTTTTCCTTTCTTAAATTTATTTTCTTTGAGCCTGAGTTTGCAAAATCTGGAAGCACTAAGTCACACATTTTTTTGCCAGGTGAGTGAGCAGAAAACATAGTTTTCAAATGCAAAAAGTTATTTTTGTCATTGTAAAACATTGAGATGAAAAGCCAGTAAATTCATGCCCAAAAGCAGAAATGTCAAAAAGTAAACTTCTACCTACTTTTCTTTCAGGAATGAAAATTTTCACACAGCTCCAGTAGGTGATAATGATTGGCTTTTTTCTTATTGTGTGGCCTTTCAAAGAGATGGACATGTTTCAGTTATGCAAACAATTCTTTTGTAAGCAAGCAAGTCCATTTTTTTCCAAGCCTAATTTTAAAGGGAACGTTTCCCATGAAGTGCTGAGCAGCTTCCATTTACCCATTTCTCCTGTATAAACTATTTGAAAAATTAAGCATTGTGGGAGCCTAATTGTTTGATTAAATTCAATAGATGAAGACTGCCTTATGCCTGAATCACCCTGTAGCTTAACTATAAACATCTGCCTTTGTTTGGTCGTTGAACTGCTGTTAGTGTAACAGTATTATTAGAATGTCTTTGCATATTAAAGACTTGGGTTAGATTCACAGTCCAAGGGAAATTATTTCTTGAAATTGTCTTAAGAATGGGACTTTGTTTTCTTGCTGAAAACAAGTAATTGAATTGCTTTGGCAGAGGGGAGGAGGCCGGTGCCCACTGAGGTGAATAGTCAATACATTACTCATGGTTTGAGCTCTGTTATGGTGGGTGGGAGAACTGGTTCTGTAAAATCCATAGGGAAAGCAAGTGAATAAAAAAGAATTGTTATCCGTAAAAGAGGCAGAGGGATTAGAGAAAGTAGCACAATACTTTAAGAAGCAAATGCATAGAACAGATCAAAGATTGCTATGGCAACCTATCAGATCAGTGAAAACTGACAAATATTTCATCTGATAAATTTAATATCTTTTTCTGTTAGTGGAATATCTATAAACAGAGTGCAATTTCCTCATATTTTTTCAAATGTAGTAGACAATTTTTCCTCCTTTTTTTTTAATCTTTGGATTGGTCACAAACAGTTTGCTGTAAATATTTGATACTCAATGTTCTAAAAGTCAAGTTGTATTGCTTAACTGAGGTTAGGCAGATAAACCACATGGTATTGCTTCTGTTTCTCAGCTGAATGAGTGCATAAGCACATCTGGCACAAATAGTCAAGCATAAATTTTAAATTTGGATTTTGTGATTACTCACATATACAACTTTCATATACTTTGCACGTACTTTCTGTGAACAAACATGGCAGGAAATTTTTGCCACTCACATGTTTGCAGGAAGTGAACACTAAAGCGTAACCAAGGCAAAATCCTTTAAAAAATCATTTTGGGTAACTTTTCATGAGAAATGTTTTCACCAAGTTCTAGTAGTAAAGGGTAACAATGAAAGATGTTTTACGCTTAGATTTTAGAATGGACGAGTGAAAATTGCTTTATCTAGTTTTGCTATTTAGTGTCCTCATATTAAATGTAAGCAGCTATATTAAACTAATTTATGGGTAGAAATTAAATCAACCAATAGTAGGTATTTGCAAATGAAATGTGTCACTTCATCCTTAATTCCTACTTTGTATCTACATGGGATCTTCTGTATGATCAGAGAGCTATGGTATCTGGCCACATCAGGACAGAATTTCAGCCTTTATGCTGACTGTCCTGCTTTTGTTTGTTTCAGACAGTTTCTGCATTCCTTTAAGGCAATTTTTGTAAATCCATTTGAGGGCTTTTCAGTAATATGACATTTACAATGTATCCTAACCATGTGCTGAAATTTTGCACATCGTTCCCTTTTTACACTGATATAGTATTCTGTCTTCATGAATTGCATATTATTTGCACTGAACAAAAAGCCATAAAATAGAAAACATACCCATCACTTTTCAAAATTGTGGGAAGCAGAATGACAAATTGATACGAGTTTACTGACAATATTCCTTCTCACTAGGTTAGGGGTAGTAAGAATGGTGCACTTTGATACATAGTATTCTTTTGTTCTATGTAAGATATCACTACAGATTGACAGTATAATGCCCTGAAAGACCCATTATGATGTAAATCTTAATATCCAACGTCTAAGTGAACTCATTAGGACTTCATGTACTTTCCAAATAATGGTCCAGATTTTCAAAGGCTTCGGCTTAAATGTTTTAATAAAATCTGGCGTTCTTTGGGGCAGCAAATACACAAATGGATAACTGCACAATTACCTATTCTTCTTCGAGTGCTTGTTCACGTCCATTCCACATTAGGTGTGCACGCAACGCATGCACGAGCGTCGGAAACTTTCCCTTAGCAGCTTCCAGCGGTCCCCCCAAATGGTACCACTGCGCTCTGCATATATACCCCCACCGGCCCGACCCCCTCCAGTTCCTTCTTACTGT